GCCCGGGCCGGTACCGCACCGCGGGATGGGCATTGACACCGCCCGGGCCGGTACCGCACCGCGGGCATTGATTTCCATCTCCCGGCTGCAGCCCTTCCCCGCCTCACGGGCTCTGCAGGGACACGGGCTGATTGATTCCCGGCTGCTCACTGCGAACGGGAAAGCCAAACCTGGGGAGTTCTCAGCTCTGAAATGCGGATTGCGGCTCGGCCAGAGATTTCCTCGCGGTGTTTGTGTTACAGAATGGTCCAGGGTCTCAGTTTTATCAGTTTTACACTTSTCTCAGGCCTCCTGGAGAATTTCTGTTCAAGTTTCATAAACGTTTTCTCTGTAAAGCCYGCAGAACCAATTTAAGAATCGCCCACAGAAGGGAAGCATTTTCTGMTGGTGCTGAAGGTTTGTATCACAAACCTTTAATTAGGTCCGAGCTGTGTCTCACTGGTGATTGACCCAGCAGAGTGGGCAGAGGAGCCTGAGCTTACTGCTTGTCTGCTGCTGTCGGTGTATTTTATAGCTCTAGGTGTATTTTATAGCTGCTTCCCTGCCAACCATTGAGTTTATGGGGTTTCTTTTTGTAAACGCTTGYCTTGAAGYRTTTTTTCTTAAATACYCTCATTTGCAACTAGCATTCTGYAGGACAGCTGCTGATCTTTGAAATKAATGTTTAGGTTGATGAGAAAGCTAGTTGGTTTCTARTGTTTTTACACACTATTTTTTAAARCATAATCTGAGCCAGTAGTTTGTTTAGAGCTTGTTTTTCTAGCAGTGATATCWTATATTTTGAGAGGCACTTGTTTGCTTTCCTTTGTAATTGTTTTATGAGCAATTTCTGTAAATGAAGTTTTATTTATCAAGCAGCTATAGCAACTCAAAATGTAATTGGCGAGAAACATGAGGGAAATAATTTCATACAATCTTTTTTCCCCTCATTATTTCTTTAATGTACAGATAATTAATAATGGMTTAAGCCCTGTGGCACAATCCAATTGCAATATATAATATGTATTTCTAACTGTGGAATCACAGAATCATTAAGGTTGGAAAGGACCTCCAAGATTATCAAGTCCAGTCTTTGACCAATCACCACAGCATCAATTGCCATGTCAGGTGTGTGTGGCTATCCAGGTGCAGCCAACCATGTTTCCTTACTATTTTTTTTTAAATTATTTTTCAGTTCTGATACCGCCTTTTCAATAACATTGAACAGAAAAGATGCCCTGACAGAGGATCAGCAGACTTTGGCTTCGTACGGGATTGTTTCTGGTGATTTGATATGTTTATTGTTGGAAGAGCCAGATGTTCAGCCCAGCCTACCTCCTGCTGTTCCTGCACTGCAGAATGGCCATGAGCCGTCCGCCGTGAGCCCCGGCATCATTCAGGCTCACAGCCCAAAACAGGAGGGGCACAATGAGCAATCTAACAGTGAGAGAGCTCAGCTGGGAGTTCAGGAGAGTGTGGACAGGGTAAGTACATGAGAATTTTCCTGTACAGCACAAGGCAAAAGGGTCTCCTTAGTGTCAGTTACTGAATGATAGAGGAGAGAATCTCTTCAGAATATTGGCTCCCTACACTTGTCTGATATGTATTCAGTCATTTGACTGGAAATTTGTCTCTATTATTGTATATTACTGTGGCACAAAAGCTAATTCAGAGAGCTCAAAGTGTTCCAGGTTTACAGGAGTAAATGTTTTTGCTGGAACATGCACTTAAGGAAGTCAGGACTGTGTTTCTTACCTGCCTCAGTGCTGTGTTCTAGAGGAAGCTGTTTCTAGGTCTGAGCAAATGCAACAGTCACTGTCCAGGACAGGCTCCTTTTTTTCCCCTTTCCTGACACTTTCCTTGGGTAAATCTGCTTACAGTTTCAAATATTGTTCTATCATAATGTGTCTGTGTGTAGTTTTCTCAGTTAATTTAATAATACACCATGATTTTGGTAGAAGAAAGGAACTACAGTTAACCCACTGTCTTCCTCGAGTGGCAACAGGTGCACTCATTGATGGATTTCTTTCTCCACCCCAGCATTCAGGGCTGTTGGTGTTTCTTGGCAGCCCAAGTTACTGTTTTGGGTACTTGCCATTGGCTAAATTCAAATAAATGATGATACTATAGTGATTRAAATATTCCTGTGTTGCAAAAATGSTGATGAAGCTTTAAYATATTATYATCACCTTGTCTTCAATTAGTATATMCAATAAAATGGCAAACCCTTTTGTGAAGAGTTTGCCTTATAAAGATTAAGAAATACAAAGGGTTTATGTATAATCCCAGACTTTATCTGGAATGCTAGGAAATGGAGGTGTAAGGAATCTTACAACTTGTATGGGAAATAAAGCTGGAATAAGCAGATGTATAATGTTGTTGTATATAAAAGTGTAATTTTCTGAACAAATGTATATTCTTCTTTCCTCTGAAGGCAGGATCCAGCCTAGAGTTTCCTTCTGGGTTAGTGGCAGAAGATGCTGAGCTGGAAGAAGGTGCAGGTTCCTATCCCTCAGAACCCATGCTGTGCAGTGAAGCTGCAGATGGTGAAATACCCCATTCCTTAGAGATGCTGTACCTTTCTGCTGAGTGTACCAGTGCCACTGATGCCTTGATCGTTCTGGTCCATCTTCTCATGATGGAGACAGGCTATGTACCTCAGGTAGGTGCCCCACCAAACAGAAATGTCTGGGTAATTGTGGGACTATTCAAGAACCATCTGAGGATCTGCCTCTGCCTTTGTTTGTGTCAGTTTGCTGCAGGGGCTGCTGAAGGATCAACTTGTCTGATTTCCCTGACTAGAAAGCTTCAGGCTAAAGACTGGAGCATCTTTTAGGGGTGGAAGGAGAGGTCTGTCCCTGTGTTTCTTGTGTTCCTCAGCCTCACTGGGACCCAGCTGAACCAACCACTTCTGCTTTACAGCACTGAGCATGTGGGGATGTGTTCAGATTGTAGCACTTTAAACCTGTTAGTTGACTCAGGTTTTCTAATTAACTTCAAACTATGATTCTTAAAGGCCTGTCAGATCCTCTGTGTTCACAGAAAAGGTGCAGTARCATCTTTTTTTTGTGCATCAAATTAATAATGTGCAGAAGTTGTCAGAATGCTGGAATGGATGATTTGTCTCAAAGAAGGATTTGTCTCAAAGAAATAGATGTGAGTGCTCACTGAACATCCTTTCCTATCAGGATAAAAAATCAGTACTCTCAGATTTGCTGTTAGTTTTGAAGAAATTAGTGTATAATCACACATATTCACAATCACTGCATCATAATGTGCATTAGGCTGACCTAAGAGTTGAATTGCAAGCATCATTCTGCCATTTCCTCACTTGTAATCCTTTTCTCACCTCTCAGTATTGGCACATTGCAAAAGCATGACTGTGTGTGTGTTCTCTTTTTGCATTGGTAGGGGATAGAAGCCAAGGCAGTCTCTATGCCAGAGAAATGGAGAGGGAATGGTGTTTATAAGCTGCAGTACACACATCCCCTTTGTGAAGAGGGTTCTGCTGGTTTGACCTGTGTGCCTCTGGGAGATCTCATTGCTATCAATGGTGAGTCAATCCAGGCTTTATCTTGGATGCACATTCCTAAGGATCACCATTGTTTAGGAAGAGAAAACTTGAGTGTGCTGTCATGTGCTCTGCTTTGAACTGCACCGTTATTTCTGGGGTTGCTGAGGTGCAGGAGATTCCACTTCCTGATGCTGAATATTCTTGGCATTTCCAGTCTGTGTGTTAACTGTTTCCCTCTACTGTGACAGATTAATCCTTAGGACATTCAGCTGGCCTTTTCATTGCAATATTGTAGAAATATGTTTGTTGTCTCATTTCATAGGAACTTCCATACACATTGCCAGACATGGAGGAAGTGGATTTGTTTCAGCTACCATTTTTTATCTTACTCTTGATGTTTTTTGAAAGACTTAAAACTTCCAGACCATATAATCTTTAGCCCTGATATATAGTCTTTCCTGTAGTACACTGTGATCTCAAAAACTGTTTAGTTTAAGTTATTGAGTCCAGAAGACTTAGAGAAGTCCTAATTTTTGAAGCAACTTCCATATCACTTGATGTGTTTTTTGAGTTATTTTTGTCTTTTTTTTTCTTTCTTTTTATTATTTTATTTAGCATTTGAGTAATTCCACATTTTAGCAGAAACAGCGTTAACTTAGGGTTTGCTTCTAATTTCAAGATAACTGATATAGTTCTTTATAAAACTTGTAACTGATTTTGCCAATTTGTGTAAACACATATTTTCTCAGAACCTTAATGCATTCTGAGCAAATGTTTTAACCAAGTCAGATTAGGGTTAGATTTGAGACAGTGTTATAACTACCATGCATCCAGAATTCATAAATTAAACTTTTGGAGTCTTTTCCTAACATTTCTTTAGTGACTCGGTTATGATAATGGCTCTCTGTGTGCCTTGTTTAGCTGTGTTACATCTCTGTCCATGTGATAGAATTGTTGAAAGTAATGCTTGGTTGCTGCTGCTGCTGTGTTAAGTTACTTTTATGTTTTTCTGAAGCTTTTATTTCTCTTCCTGCTTGCTGTAGTTGGGTATTTTCCTTGTGGGATCTGGTAAAGGAGGAAAGTAAAACATCTCTAAAGTGTAAGGCAGTAATGAAGTGGTCTGTCATTTCTGTGTGTTTTAAATTTTGAAATGTCTTTCTCTATTTGTAGCAACATTAAAAATCAACGAAGAGATTAAAAGTGTTAAGAGGATCCAGCTGTTGCCATCATCCTTTATTTGCTTCCAGGACCCAGGTATGTCTGAGCTCTGATACTCATAGTAGCAAACTGAAAAGTGAAGTGACTCAGTGGGTAAGGATGTGACACCAAATCAGTGCAGAATAGCAAAACAGAATAAAAATGGGGTCACCATTTAGGTTAGTCATAACTTTGTGGTAAAAGGAATTCAGAGTGTGGGCATTTGCTCATATTTTGTTGTTAGCACAGATTATTTCTTGAACTAACAATGTAAGGAAAGAGCCTTGCAAAGCTCAGTTTATCCTTTGGCCCCTGTGCCTGTTATTTGTGAGGTCCTGGGCACGTGTGTATCTCTGGGACAGCAATGCTGGGTGATGTCCCCTCTCTGCCTGGCAGCTCAGGACTCCAGAACCTGGCACTACCTACACTATTGTTGTGGTGCTCCAATTGTTAAATTCTTTTTGTCAGAAAACTTGTACAAGGTTTCTCCAGAGTGCCAAAATTAGAGGTAACACTAAGGTGAGGGAGGTGAGAAGGGCAGATCCGTGTGGATTCTTTTGAGCACTGAGCATCCTTATGTTGTCTGAAGGGTATGAGCTGCTTTATTGGCAGTCAGGGCTGATTCAGTGTCCTGTGTTCTGCATAGTCCCAGTCACTGGGATAGAACAACTCTAAATGAAAGGCTGTAGAAGAACTGAGTGCTGAAATGCATCCAGTAGAACTGTAGAATCTTCTGGCTCCTCTTTCTTCTGAGAAGAGAATGGAAAAATACTTTTGTCAGAGAATTGAAGGTTGCAGGTTTTGAGAACATAAGTGTATGTGAGGCAGAGCTTTGAAATCTGACAAAAGGATCTCTGAAAGTCAGTTTGTTTCCAGGGAACTCAAGTGTTTCCCTTAACTGTGCCTTGTAAGGCCAAAGGGAAAGCTCAGTCTGACCATGGGACAGGTCTCTAGTTTGTCAATGACTGATTTGTTGCAGGATAGTTTCACTCTAGCTGCAGAGCTGCTCCCATCAAGATCACAGGACGATTGAAGTGCTTATAAGCAAATGCAATTCTTACAACTTTTGCATTATAACCTCTTGAAATTAAGCTTTTTTTCCTCTCTTCTTTGACAGAGAAGGTTGCAGGTGTTTACAAAGACCTTCAGAAATTATCCCGTCTCTTTAAAGATCAGCTGGTTTATTCTCTTCTGGCTGCTGCTCGACAAGGTGAGAGGAAACATTTACAATTAGAGATGGTACTTTAATTTTTGAGGATGGAAGAAAGGGGTTCTATCTAAAACCTTGAAGGAAAAGTGTTAGAAACAGCTGTTCAGTGACAGGCTTGTAAAGAGTAAGCACAAAGTAATATATGTGTGCTAAAGAAATCATATTAATTTTTGCAACTCAGAAAATGTTAATGTAATTCTGGTTTTAACTTGTGGTTGCTCTAGTCTCGTTTCAGAGATGGAAATGGAATGGCTGTTTTCCATGAGTAATTATTAGGAAATCCTGCCACAGTAATTTTTAGCAGTAGTTTTGTAGTTTTAATCTATTTCTTTGTCAAAACAGAAACATTTAGTATCATATTTGAAAGTCTGACCTCAGGAATGATCTTGTTAGGAACTGGGGCTTAGAAAGGATGGTAGGAAGTAACCCAACCTGGTGGCTGTGTAGCAGTAGGAAACCAGGCTTTCTCTGCATAGTTACTTCCATAAAAGATCTCAGCATTTTATTCTGAAGACAGTTCAATGAAATTCCCTCTAAATGTCAGTGCATGAAAATTTTATGTGTAGCATCTGCTCTGTATTTCTGATTTTTGCAAGCTTATGAAAGTGGGCAGGTCGTTTTTTCTTTGCTTTATTCCTTAGCTCTGTAGCTTCTAAGCCTAGTTAGGTGTGTGGAATGTTTCTTAGGCATAGTGCTCTGTATTAAGTGTGATTTGCCCTATTTTGTGCACCACATAATTGTAATCAGAGTTGCAAGAGGCCTTTTTTGCAAGGAGTGACATTACAGTAGTTGCAGAGAGAAGTGATGTAACTCAGRCATCAAAGGGAGAGGATTAAAGGAGAGATTATAGTGTTCCTTTAGAGACAGAAGCACTRCTTTAGTGGTGTCAAGTTTACTGTTTTTTCTGAACTTTCTTTCTTCTCTGTGTAGCTTTGAACTTGCCAGATGTGTTTGGCTTAGTGGTCCTTCCCCTGGAGCTGAAGCTTCGCATTTTCAGACTCCTGGACGTGCGCTCCCTCCTCTCTCTGTCGGCCGTTTGCCGTGATCTCTACACAGCCTCCAATGACCAGCTGCTCTGGAGGTTCATGTACCTGCGGGATTTCCGAGGTGATGGCAGTGCACATGGTTTATATCATTGTGATCTTGTGTTAACACAGGGACTGGGTCTGACAGGCTTTGATAAGAGGCTTCTCAGGCAACCAGCAATGACATGGAAACACTGTGAGTAAATGCAGTTTGTGATATGAATCAGTACAGCTGGTCAGGTGTGATTCAGGTGGATGCAGTTTTCTGTCAAAGAGAATGGTTGGCAATCTTCTGAGTCACTACTGGTGCCCCACATGGTTCTTCCATGGTATGGTGCAGGCTTGCTTTGTTTTCATCTGTTTCCTTTGCTACCTTGGTGTATTGGTACTGCAGTTATTAGGAAGTGGAGGGAAGATACATTCCTGCTTCAATTTCTCATAAGAGATTGAAGAAACAAAGGTTATCAAAGGTAGTGCTGTCAGAAGGCAAAGGTGGGGACAATGTTTCTGGGATTTCTCTATTTAGTAACATTTGGAGATGGTGCTTTACAGAGAATGGGTGTGCAAGTAGATTATCTATTGATTGGACCTGGAGCTTTGCATTTTTTAAGATGTGTTATCTTTATGAAAAGGTGTATTGCCCAAAAGTGGTTTTTTTTCCTACATTGATTATTCTTTGAGTTCTGACAAACTGTGGGCATCTCTGGCACAAGATCTCTTGCCTTTTTTAACTTTTTGCTTCTCTTTGTAGATCCAGTTGTACGGCCTCGTGACACAGACTGGAAAGAAGTAGGTGACTTTTTTATATAATCTSTCTGTGATCAGTGTTAGTTTGAGAATTAAGTACAGACCTTGGGAGGCAGCAACTTTTGAGTTAAGTTTAGCTKAAAAGKGTGGTGTTCTGTGTATGCATGTTGRTCAGASTAGGAGAAAGGAGCATCATCAGTTACATGGTGCATGCTCAGATTGGAGATCTTAAAAAGATGCTGTGTCTGGTCTTTGGCACGCAGGGGAGTGGCTGCTCTGGGTTTTCAAGTGCACTTTTTTGAGAAGTGCTGTAAAACTGAATGCAGTTGCTGAAGATTTAAAAGACACTTAAGCGAACTGTAAATTTTTTTTTTCCTGTCCGCAGCTCTACAAGAAAAAGTTGAAACAGAAGAAGGAGGCTCTGAGATGGAGGCACATGATGCTTTTGCCCCCTATACCTCATCCAATCCCCTTTCATCCCAACCCATTCTACCCTAATCCCTTTCCTCCCAACCCATTCCCATCAAATCCAATCTACCCCCCRATGATCATGGGGGGAGAATATGACGAGAGACCAACCCTCCCATATGTTGGAGACCCAATTAACTCACTCATTCCTGGCCAGGGAGAAGCAGCAGGTCGCTTTCCTCCCTTCAGACCCCATTTTGACCCGATTGGCTCCTTGCCTGGAGCAAACCCCACTCTTCCAGGACGGGTTGGCCCCAGTGAGAGGTTTCCAGCTCGGCCCAGCCGGGGCCGCCCCATGGACATTCGCCGTGCGTTCATTTGATTGCTGCTGGTCCCTGCAGGCCCTTTTGTAGTAGCTGAGCTTGCTTTCTAACTGCAGGAGATTGCAAATGCAGGCACTAACATCTGCCTCCAGATTGTGCCAAGAACGAGTGCATGGTAATGTCCCAACACAGGCTGGGTTTGTTTTGTGGGCTGGTAGTGCTGTGTCACCTGGCACTAAGGTCTGTTCCTCAAAGAGCTCCAACTTGGAGCATTTTGTTCTGCTTCCCCTCCTCCTTGCCCTGATCGTCTGTCAAGTGCTACTTAGAGACCAGAATACCAGCCAGAGTACTTGCTGCAGCAGATAAAGAGCACTTTAAATATAAACCCTCTACTTGTCTGTCTTCTTTGAAGAGCTTTACTAAATTGCCAGGATGGAAGGTTTTGTTTAAAACCTACCTGGCTAATTAATAATCTTTRTTAACAAAAAAGTTACCTTGTATCACATAGAACAGGATACTGCCACTGTTACRGTAGATGCGTGTTCATGGAAATTTCTAAAGGTGTTTTTTTTCCTTTTTCCTTTAATATTTTATTAGGTAAAAAGCATTTTTGTATTGTTACTTAATGCACAAAGAATACAGCAAAGGGATTTTCTTCATAGTGGAAGTATTAGAACACGAAATAATTTTGTGAACAACTGAGCAAAGTCATGCTACAGTGCAACTCAGAAGTCTAAGCAGAAACAGAGCAATTTTACAAAGAATCAGCAGCAAAACTTTTGACTTTCTCCTTGACTTTACAAATAAGGATCCRTAGTACATGACTGCACTTACTGTGTTTGAACTAAAAGTGGTGTGAAAAATTCTTATTTTCTCCCTCTCTGACATAATTAAAGAATKAAATAGACTGACCTGGTTGCAGTGGAAATGGGATCACAACATGAGAAGCAGAAAGAATTYTGACTTCAGTAAATTCCATTTAACTCCTTTATTTAAGTATTGGATTATATCTTGCCAAAAGGAAATGTTATGAGCACCTTTCAAGTATTGTCTTATGAACTGATGAGCAGCTAACGAGAGCACTGTTAAAGTCTCCTGATGAGACCTGCAGGCTGATGCTGGAGCTCACTTAAAGGAAGACTGAATGACTAAACTTTGTTACAACTTCTAATTTCTTACGTATTTTTTAAGATGATTGATCTCAGTGTTTCTATAAATGGTACTGATGGCTGTTGTGACAACTGATATTATTTTTTAAAAGTTTTTTTGAAATTCCAACTGTKGAAATGGAATGACATTTAATTTTAAATATGAGTTATTTAATCAGTCTTTTTAATACTTATGTGCTTTTTCAGGTGGTATTTCAGTGGTTCATCTTGTTTTGTATGAAATCAGCTGACTTCAGTAAGATCAGGAAGTTTTGCCATTAACTCCAGTGGAAGTAAAATATAATACTTTATTTTGCTGTCAAAAGTCGTTTTGCTTCTTTCTTCCCTTTTCTACTTCACAGCAATAGTTTTCCTTCAATACCAAGATTAGCCTTAATTTTAACATTTGCCTTCAGCAGCTGAATTGCCTTGTTCCAAAAGGATTTTTATAAGTGAAATGCATAGTCAGACCTCTTAGAGTGATTTTTTTATATTCCACTGACTGTAAAAAGGAAAAGGGAAATCTACACTGCATTGGTCTTGCACCGTTTTGTCCTTGTGATGAATGCTTCAGCAATGCATAAACAACATTCAGATAAGATTATACAGCTTTAACTGATATAATAATTCATAAGTTACCATTCTCCTTTTTTTCCCCAGCTATTTCTGGGAACATGATCACACAATGCATGTGAGATAAGTTAATTTTTTGGTGCTAGCAAACGTGCTGCTCTGAATTGGGCCCTCTTTGCCATGAACACCCATGAGGCCATACCTGTGCCAGGCTGATGCCAGAGGTTTGCTTTGTCCTGGATTTTGTCATTTGAATGTTTGTTTTTGAAGTGATGAAYTCAGCCCTTTTATAAATGCACCACTAAGTGGCCTAAAGATATTCCTTCCCTTTTTTTGTTCTCACATTGTGGTAAAGGTACAAAGATCAAGGAGCCTGACTTAGCCAGAACTTCAAAGTTCCTTGAAGAGGAGTTAGGATATGAAATACAAAGTGAGTGTCTCAGGACCAAGAGTATAACATTAGAAGACCAAAGAGAGGAAATACTTGAAAACCACCTGCCTGCTTTGTTTATTTGCCAGCTCCTAAATCAAGTGTGTGTGTCATTGCTGTTGCAAACTATAAAGGAGAAATGACAGACGATAAAATGGCTGAAGATGAGCATTTCTTACCTCTACTATTCATTAGTATCCAGCACTGTAAAGGTTGCTACTACCAGTCACTTGGAAATAAGAAACTATTATCCTTATTATCCTTATTATCCTTGGCTTTTCTATGTATTGTTTTATGTTATGAAACTTTATGCCAACCAGATAAAGCAACTGAGCCATACTCAAGGTGTAAGGGCTTACGTACCTTCTTGTGATTAGTGGAAGAAGTAAAAWACCACTGCACTTACAAGGAGGAGTGCTGTTCTTCTGGATCTTACCTTTCCTGGGAATGTATGTTTCATTCCTCTTGAATTACCACACCCARCTATGACAAGAAAGTCACGATGATCCTCAGTTTGTAGCTAAACAAGGAATTGTAAACTAATTTTCCAGGTGGTGGATGKGGTTGGGTGTCGTAGCTGTGTGCCCCTTCTTGGGCTGGATCCAAACACCCAAACCTACTCATGTTTCCTGTCTTCCATGTGAAGAAAATTTAAACAAATAGGACAAAAGGGAAGCCCTGAGCAGCTGCTCGGTTTTTCACATCTGTGACAAAGATCCCAAGGTGTGCTGTGTGCCCTGTGATTCAAATGCAGCTTCTCTTYACCAGTTTTTTCTGTTCTCTTACTGCCCCTGGTGTTACATTTAGGTACCTAAACGCCTCTGGGGTATACCTTAGTTTCCCTTTCATAGAACAGCCCTTGTAGTCCCTGTTTTTTTAGAGTGTAGGGATTTTGGAGTAGAAAGCCAGCATCAAGGGTGATAATTGGAAGATGGGGTGGTGCATTTGTGAATCTCCTGCTAGCCCCAACATCCAATATGTGAGCATCAGAGCTGTACACTTGAAGGGGTACTGTTGGGACAGTTAGGGGACATAGATTTTCATCATTGTAACTCTGGAAACCAACTCAGTGTTTTAAATCATTTCTGTGAATAGAATAAAGGCTCTTTTTCTGGAATATGGACTAAATTAAGCTGAGAGTGCCCGTTTGTACTCGAAGTTGCAAATTAAAGCTAGGAGGAGGGGAGATGCAGTTCTGTTTGCTTGTCCCTTGAAAAGTGAGAGCTGTAGGCAAAAGGAGAGATTTGAGTCACTGCTGAGTTTCAAAGGTGACTGCTATCCCGTTCCTGTGGTGTGTCAGGACAGCCCTGCAGCCTCACAAATGATCCAGCTGTTGTTCTTTCAGCAGCAAACTTGGAGATTTATGGTTCCTTTTTTGTATATATTGTGTTGGTAAGGGAAACGTAGAGTTTCAGGGGATAAAGCCATTGAGGATTCTTGCAGTAAACTTTCATTTCTGTCTCTGCATCTCTRGTGACCATTTAGTAGGGAAAGGTATAAACCCTGGTGAGGGAAGTGTTAGAGAAGGAAATCCTCTCCTGCCAGGGCTGAATTGCCTCTTCCCCATATAGTGAAACTTGTTAATCTGCTATTCTTGCCAGTGGGACAGTGCTTGCTCAAGGCCATTTCTCACTCTTTTATTGCTCCTGGAGACTGTAAAACAGCAGAGATTGGGKTTTTTTTCTCAGATGATGACATATATTTATGATGCTACATTGTGAACTACTTACCAAACCCTGAAGGACAACAGAACCGAGGAGAAAAAAACCTAATCAGAAGGCAAATCAGCAGAGTGAGGTGGTTCTGTAATACTGAACTTGAGGTATAAATCATTGATTGAGATGAGTCTCTTGAGGGATTTCCAGCCTGGAAAGCAATGCTGTTATTGCCATTGTACGTTAAAGGCCTGCAGGGGTTGGTCACACAGGGTCCAGATGACTGCATTGGGCTGAGATGTTCTTACAGGTGCTGTGCAGGGAGGATTTCCTTGTTTGGCTTTATTCCACCAGTGAATCACAAGATCYAAGATGGCAAATGCAGCTGTTGTTTTTGCTGCTTTGGGGATTCCTTGTGTAGGTGACAGCAATCTGTGCCATTGGCTCAGACCGTGTTTGACTGTCCTGGGCATTGTGAGTGTCAGTGCAGCAGTGCCAAGGGAAGCACAGAGCCAGTGCTGTGTGTTGAGGAGTGGGGTGAGGACTGAACTGCATTGAACTGTTCCAAACTGACCYCGGGGTGAGCAGGCTCTCTGCTCCTGTCAGTACCTATAAATGTGTGGGTTTACCCAGGTGAGCTTTTAGCTCATGAACACAGCTTGTAGGGGTTTGGTCAGTACCAGTTCCAGTGGATGTGCTGGGACACATATATGTGTGTTCTGGGACAGACACAACTTTGTTCAGTGCTGCAGGGTTAGAGGAAAAGCACACAGCAAAGATCCATCTCTGTCTTCTCTGGGAAAATAATCCTTGGGAGTGGTCAGGGAGAATTAATACTGATCATTACCTRCCAGGGACAATGCCATCCCTGCCCTCCCATGGTTGGTGTCTCTGGATGGCTCAGGCCACCTGATTTGTGCAGTGTAATTCTCCAGTTCTGGTGCAGGTTTGTCACTTTGCATTCATCTTGCATTCACCCCAGCAAAGGCAGTGGGAATTGAAGGCAGGGACAGGATTTCACTCCCTCTCTCACCCATTCAGTGTTATGGAACACTCAGCACACAAATATGTGCACTTCATCAGCTCTGCTATTAATGAAGCRTGTTCCTGAGGGACAGGCACAGCCAGATGTGACCAAGTCACCAAGGTGCTTGGAGTTTAGCTGGCTTTTGTCTGGAATTTGTGTGAGCTGGGAATGTGAACCCCTGGTGTTTTCAGGGGCAGGGAAAGAAGTTGTTTTTTTTTTCTGTGGAAGATCCATTTCTTAGGTTATTTTTGAGCTAAGGCTACAGGGTTAGAACATGACATTTTTTTCTCAGAACTTGGCAATCGCACACAGGGGACATGAATGCAAGGGATGAAACTGAGATGTTTTATCTGCTATAAGCAGAGTGCCCTGTAACAAACCAGCAGTCCATGTGCATGACCTGCTCGTGTGATCTTTGGTGCTCACTGATCCTTGGTACTGTATCTGTCTTGACCATGATTTTGCTCTGAAAAGTGACTTTTTATGGAGCTGGTATCATGAAATTCCACAGTTCACTGGATTTCCATGTGCAAGTGTGCTCACTTTATGGGTCAATGGGTATTTATTCTGGACTGTGCCTTTGCATGTGTGTTTCTGAAAGAAACCTCATTTTTTTCAGCTTGACCTTAACAAGAATTCAGTAATCGGAAGTTAGCAATTGTATTGACTGTACAAATCAAAATAAAACCCAGTTTGCATTGTCATAACTCTGTTGTCTTCACAGGGGTTAGCAAGAGTAAAACTTGCTTTTCAACTCAGTCATTTGAACAGATGTGATTCTGATAATGCACAAAACCCAATGAAATAGTGACACTTTTATACAGCCACTTTTCAGACCATTATTCAAGTATTTTTTTTTTGTATTAAAACAATTTTCAGAATTCCCTTTACCCAGGTGTTAGCTGTAAATTGCTGAGTTCCACTGAGTGTATTCCAGGATGACATCAGGTGTGACATTCTGCAGACTGAGGGCTGACAGAAGCACAGATGCAGCTGCAGGATTGTTAATCAGAAAACAGGCTAGCAAATGATTTTCGCAGGTTGCGGATGGTCTCAGCTTTTGCTTCGTCCTCAGTGGCGTTTCCCCTCTGAGATGACTCAGATATGCTGAAGCTGTTTGTGAGAGACTGCGATTTGCTGAAAGGGAAAACAGAGTTCAGGCTCAGCAGAAGGTGGGAGTTCAAAGTTGGTTACTCAYTCATGCTTTGGGCTCCATCACACAGACAAATTCAGGGATAAAAGGAGAGGTTGGTGCACAAAATCTGTATCCAGGAGTGGGGGAGCTGGGATGGAATGGGGCATGGCAAATGGCTCAGCCCAGACTGGTAAGTGTCAATAAAAACATCTGATTACAAGTATGCAGTTGCCATTTGSTGAGACACTTTCAAGTGATTTCACTATTAATAGAGAAGAATGCATTCATAGTAGGGGTCACCCATCTCTCACCTTACCAGAAATGCTGGTCCTGCCTTTCAGCGTGAGAGCACTGCAGGTTTGGTGGTTGGTACCAGAACCCYGCAGTGTGTGCTGTTTCCTGCCCTCTGTCTGCTCTGTGAACTCTGGAATTTCTGTCTGTTGTTGATCTCACTGCTCCTGCTGGCTCTGTRTCTGCTGCTGTTCAAGTCCAGATCAGGACTCTGTTTTTGAAGTCAATGTCCCAATTTTCCCTGCTACCATGTTTAGTTTCTTCTGATTAGTAGTAGGTATGCAGCACAAAAGCAGACTGGGAAAAGTCCCTGAAATGTGGATATTGTGGTGACTGCACCTTTAGCACCAACATTTTGATCCTCCAGTGCACTGATTTTAGTTTACCTTGCTGATGTAAACATCATYGCTGAAAGCCTGTTCCAGAACATCACTCCTCTGCTTCTCAGACATTGTCTTCCTATTCCTAGCCTATATTTTGTTCTGTTCATACCAATTTGCTTGTGTTAACTTTTTGTCAGCGTCAGACTATGTTTTTTTGTATTTCCTGCCATGGTGCCAGCCAGATACGCTCCACAAAGGGTGACAGCAAAAGCTTCTACCTGAGATCCACAATAATTCAGCAGTGTGCTCTGCTCCAGAAGAGGGCTTCCCATACAGTCACCATCTGGAACTTTATATTTATTATATTTATTATATTTATAATATTTATTATATTTATTATTTACATGAATAGGGCCACTTCCACTTCTCCCTGCCTTTTTGCTACCAAATGCACGAAGAACCTTTGTGGCTCCCGCACTAAGGAAATGGAGAAGGAGTAACTCCTGTTAGGTTTC